TTTACTTGTTTCTTCCTTGCTGTGTCTTGATGCTCTATCTCCTCAAGCCGGATAATCACCTCTGCCTCATTGCCTTTATCAACCACCCCAATATCCTTCGAGAAATTCCAGAACTCTATTGCACCTCTATTCTTCTTGATGATACTATTGCAATTGTTTATGTTTGTATTAGTAATCGAATCACTAACCACTAGACTACTAGCTTCTTTATCTTCCAGCCATCCATAAATTGCTGCGCAAGATCTAGCATGTTTCTTCCTTTGCTTTCTTCGTTCATGCTGCCTTACCCATTCTTCAATTTGCTCAGAGTCACTCTCCATTCCTACCCAGAAATCTTCATTCACCGTCCATCATTGACCTTTTTTCTTATTCCCCTTTTTCACAAATGCTTCAAGTAGGTTCAACGTTTGATTATTGCTGCCAAGAGTGGTTTCTTTTACTTCAATATTCTGGTTCAAGCCCGGCCTACTAGTCTTTAATCCATTTTCTTCTATTTCAGTATCTTTGGTCTGCATTTCCTGCTCCAACAGTTGTCCAGATCCAATTACCATTTCTCTAATTGGGCTGAATGTATTGAGCCCAACCTCCCCATTATTATTGTAATTTTCTTGGTCCATCTCTTCGTTTGAATCTGCCACCATCATTTCCTTCTCACCTATTTTCTCATTTAATTGCTTCGATTCTTCCCCCTTTTCAGCTACTGCGTCTATCTCACACTTCCCAATTACCTCATCCATAGAGTTCTTGTCTACTTCAATCATCACCGCGTACTCCCCTATACTTTGGAAGATATCCTCCTCGGTCTCACCAACAAACGATTGCACCTGCCCTTTGCATAGCTTTGGGCCTAAGGCTACCGACCCCTCCATTTCTCCAATTTCCTTTGCTGCCACGTCAGCATCTTCCTCCTGGGATTCAAACATTGTTTGATTCTGCAAGTCTCGAATGGGATCATCCATCGAAATATGCTCATCCTCTATATGAGTCCCTAATGACCATGATTTTTCATCCTCCGACTCCGGATCCATTAACATAGTAATCACATGATCAGACTTCATATAGAACAAGCTGTTTGAGGCCTCCTCCTTTGTAACTTTAACGTCAAACAACTCTCCATTTATCTTGACTATCAGTGGCGGAGCCAAGGGGTGCGAGGGGGCGAGCAATTTGAAAATCTTGTAAATTAGTATATAAAAAATTATCTAATGTCTCCTAAACTTTAAAAATTTTAGTATTTTGCCCCTCCGAAAAAAACTGTTGACTATGATCACCTTTGAAATTGTCTCTTTACTTGAAGTGGAGATAAAGACTCTGGAAATATCAAACCGTTTCTTGTAGCTTGTACTATCATCAAGAGATATGAACTTCCCCCAAATGCAACCGATAAACTGGAAAAAGTTCTCATTCCAAGCATGCACCGGCACCCCTTGGCATTTCACCCATGCAAATCTTTCATTTGCAACCATTGTTGGTGACCATGGTCTTACCTCATTAAACCATTGTCCGAGCCAATCTTCAGCTTCATTCACCAAGTCTTTAAGTCCTTCATTATCCTTACACTGTAGCAAAACTAATTTTCCTCCCATCAGTCTAACATGGCACCAAAAATATCCCTCCATAAAGAATTTTCCCTGCAAGGTTGGGATGATTTCAATTGCTCTGGCTGTTCCCACATAACATCCCTCCAGCCAAGCATAATCTTCCTTACCCACATTAAACTCCAACCCATGCCACTCCTCTATTGAGTTTTTGCTTTGAGGTCTCCATATTCTGTTGCCCTGTTGTCCATTATTACTATTGTTAAAGTTTCTCTGGGTTTCGTATCCCTTCACTGCATCAGCATAACTTACCACCCCTCTATATGTATTTCTGGGCTGCTGTTTAGGTGTCTCCCCTCTCTCTTTCACCTGGCTTTCAATCCTTCCTCCAGCCTCCCATTTAAACTTTGGCAAGTTTACCCATAATTTGGTGTCCCTCACCCTGATTTGATCCAACTTCTTTTCCAACTCGTATTTGTTCTGCACATTAAGGAAACGGACAAACCCAAACCTCTTTCCTGACCTCTCTCTTTTTTTTGGGTAGTAGATCTATAGAACCCGTCCAAACTTGCTGAATGTCTCCCACATCTGCTGATACCCCTAGTCCTCAGGGAAATTGGTGAAAAAATATGGGGTTGACTGGTTATATATTCTTAAGTCATAACCCCCAACTTGCCTTTGCATGCCTCTCTTGTTATCATTCCCTGCGTTGAAAGGCCTCCTATCATAGTATGGTCGATCGTGTCCTCGTCGGAATGACAACTCTCTGCCCTGTGCTGACTGCTTTACCCGTGATCTCCGGTGCTCTCTGTCTCGCTCTCTTGGTCTTCCTCTCTCCATCGCAATCTTATGCTAGTTTCCATGTTGCTAATTACTGGTTGGGAAAAGTGTGGCTACCAATCAATGAATAATAGCAACATGGGTTATATTGTTGATATATAACATCGGCAACATAGGTTATGTTGCTAATGGTTTATCCCACCATAAAATTTCAACAATATGGTCATTGTTACTGAAAGTGACTTTCAACAACAAACACCATATTGTTGAAGGTTGAGCTTACTTTTTTGGTGTATAGGTATTTACATAGGTATCAGCAACATAGTACTTGTTGTTAAGAGTGACCTTTAGCAACATGACCATTGTTGTTAAAAGTTAAGCTTACTTTTTGGGGGAATTGGACATCAGCAACATGAGCCTTGTCGATGAAAATCTATATCACTGACAAGCTATTTCATATTGATGATAGGTAATTGATAAAAAAATGGGAATTTTAGTAGTGTTTGCTTTAAAATTGGAAAAGAGCAACAAATTTCTTATGTTGGGTTTGTTACGCCAAAGTCCCTCAATCCCTAACCATATGACAAGGCTCAGATCGATTAATGTGGGTCTCAAATATTCAAATGATGTAAGAAATTGGTGATAATTTTTTTTGGTACATCTGATAATGATGAATTATACAAAAAGAGATAACCCTCTCTTTTCCTTAAATTCCTTTTTACTTGACTCAAGGTTCAAACTTCAAATCTTTAACTTGAATGTTCAAGGTTTTAACCACTAAGTCACCCCTTTGGGGTAAAAATTGGAGATGATTGAAGTTATTCTTTGTTCTAATTTGAGGTCTCTATAATTATTGTTATTTTTATTAACATGTCATTAACTTCATTATTTATTTTATGTAAATTATTTTAATTAAATAGTTAATTAAATAAAAATTAATTTTTATTTTTTAATAATAATTAATATTAATTTTTTTAATAATTAATGTAAAAAATATATTAATTACATTTTTAACTTTTATTTTAAGAATACAAATTAAAAAAAATTATCTTTTTTTCTTGAAATATAAAAAATAAAATAAAATAAAATAAAAATTTTAATAAATTAAATGATATTTTAAACTTGTAACTAAGGGGTTGTTAATTATGGTTTTCTTTGGATTGGATGTTAAAAAACAATTTAATGTCTATTAGTTTTTCTTTTAGTACATTAGATGATAAACTGCATAATAAAACAGTGTTCTCCTTCTCAAACCCCAACCTTTTCACCCTAACATTCAAACTTGATATTTATTAGTTAGAAATTTAACATAAACTTAAGTAAATATTTTTAAATACACTTAACTACCTTTAATCAAATATATATATATATATATATATGCACCTTACAGGAAATTGTTATGCAATTTAAAATATATCCCTTCATATTGCAGAACTAAAATCTTTAAATAGGAGTCCACCCCTAATATTAAATATCATTCCCTAATCTAACCATTTATATTTTACAATCTACTTCAACCCAAAATTACAAAACACGATTCTATATATCTTAGCTACCTAAGGAAAGCAAGTCATGTGCAGCCAAATGCGAAACATGGATTAGTCAGACGTGTCGTCAATTCTCCTAGTCCGTGCAAATAATTTTCTTCAATTAATGTTGGCCCCTTGTTACACCTCACCCATGACAGAGACATAGCCAACTACGACTTAGCTGCTAATTTTATTTTATTTTATTATTATTATTTTTTTGAACATATTTGCAAGGGACGAGTTTCCAATCCCAACCCGAAAAGGGAAAAATGCACCAAAGTGACTATTGCCACTAGGCCTCAAGGACCGGGTGCACTTAGCTGCTAATTAAAACCACAAAAAAAATATATATATATATATATGTACATAACCACTGCTATGAGGTGGCATCTGCTAGCTGGGTCCCATCAAATTACTAAACGTTTTATTGGCCAAAAAAATTACTTAATAAATAAAAAATATGTCAAGTTACAATTGCCCATGTCATCTTCCTCTCTCCCCCTTCTTCCACTCTTTTTCCCCTCTCCCTTCACCATGTGCCATAGCCCATAGTGGGTACCCGCTGGGCCTGGGCATAAATGGTTGAAAAATCATCATTTACTCCAACAATACCTTCAGCAGGGGATACATCAAGACTTCTAAATTTCTTTGCAAGTAGCTTTATCGTATTTGGGGAAGATACTGAATCCTTGATAAGAAATCAAAATATGCATCAAGTGATTACAAAAGTTTCTTTAAACCTTTTTTTTTTCGGCTATAAAGTATCTCGTATTGGTTCCACTTGGGCCAGTGTGAAGAGAAAGCTCTGAAGGCCAAGACAATAAAATGCAGCCACTAGCCACTATTTGTATTTAAAAGAAAGGCAGAACAAGAAAAACCAAATTGGACGTGGAAGGCCACACATCATTATCTATCTCAGTGGTGCATCCCACCCAAGCAAATGCTTCGTTAACGTTAACCAAATTGCTGACATCATTTGTCCAATAAGAGTTTTTTTTTTCAACTATTACAAGAGTTTGAGGGGTTAAAAGCTTCTGCTTTTAGTTGAGGGCGACTGATTTGCCCACTATTTGAAGTGTACAAGGGTTGATTTGTCCTTTTTGATTTGACGATACTCGTGTCTGACGGACGAAATATCTCATTCAATAATGCCCGCATTGTATTACAAATATCTCATTTCACCAATGCACACAATAGTAAGAGAAAACATTAACTTTCTTTCCAAAAATTTATTTTCTCTAAGGTTTTTCATCATGGAACTTTCACTTTCTTCCATCCAAACTCTAGTTAAGGACATCGAGGAAGAGATGTTCTTAAACATCGATTCTTACTCATTTGTTTCTCCTTCTGCGTATGACACTGCATGGCTAGCCATGGTTCGAGATCCTCAGGAACCAGGTCAACCAATGTTCAGAGGGTGCTTGGATTGGGTACTGGGGAGAGTGTGATGGCCACGGCATGCCTACCATCGAGTCTCTTCCAGCAACTCTTGCATGTGTAGTAAGTGGAATGTTGGGACAAAGGAAGTAGAAACAGGTGATTACACGTGCTTCAAAAACTAGCTAGTTAGCATATGTATAGGCTTGTATGGTTTAACTATTAGGGAACAGCTCATCGTAGCTGGTCTCTCTAATTAATCAAGTTTCCTCTAATAGTTAAACAAACAAATATATATATATATATAAGATTTCAATATTATAAGTGTTAACACTAAAAAATAGAAAGTATGGAACCGAGAACTTTATTGATAGAAAGAGTTTACAGTGGAGAGAAAGTAGAGAAAATAATTTATCTCTCTAGGTTTATTCTTAAAATATTTATAAAATATTTACATAAAGTTATCT